TTTAGTAAGGCCCTCTCTTCACTGTTGATTTCAGTGATTTGTATATTCTCTCTTTTTATCTTGATCAGTCTAGCCAAATTTATTAACTTAATTGATCTTCTCAAAGAACTGGCTTTTAATTTCATTGATTTTCTACATTTCTACATTATTTATCTTTTCCTATAAATAGATAAATATATAATTGTTTCCTTTTTTTGATTTCTGCTCTGCTATTCATTATTTTTCTATTTACTTTGGGTTTTATTTGCCTTTTTAAAAATTATTTTCTGAAATGTTAGCTTAACTTATTGCTATTAGATATTTACTCTTTTCTGATATAGGCATTTATAGCTGTGAATTTCCTAGCTTCAGTTTTCACTTGGTATGTGATCAGGAACAAATTACTTAATACTTTATGTGTCTGTTATCTTGCTGAATATGCTGTAAGGATTTTTTTTTATTATTTAAGCACTTAAATGGTAACTGACACGGAGAGTGTCCTATACATTTTAAATCTTAATATTACTGCTATTTGGAGGGATCTGCCAGTTAAATTTAGGCAATATAATGAAATTAATTGGTTGACATGATAGAAGAGTTTCAAAACTAGTTTAAGTTAAATTTGACACACTAAAAATACTATAGATTTAAATCTTGAGAAAACACAGTATCATCACTCAAATTTCTGAAACTTTTACATCATCAAATAAAAGCTACAGGCTCCAACCAGAATATCTTTTTTTTTTCACATTATTCAAATGATTTTCTTCAATTTAGTCACCCTCTGTAGCTGGGGAGTTATTTCAGATACATGAGACATTTTTAGAACTCCTCAGCAGGATATGCCTCTGGAACCTGGAGCAAATTATTTCGAACAAACTCAGTAAATGAAAGTTTTCATTCTTCACAGATAGATGATTAATTTTGAAAAACAGCTAATTGCTTCAGTTGCTAAATAAGGCAGATTATAAAGTTCAGGAAAAATATTTATGGTTTTAAATGAAATGAGATTTAAAAAACAAAAAAATAATGATTTGTTTTTCTCTACAAGACTGAATGAATATAACTTGTAAGGTGAAGTTTAAAGAAAAAAATCTTTCAAGATGGGTAGTTTTGGGAAGTAACTAATTAAGAAATTAATGATCGTTTGTTTTTCTCTGGGTTCGGAGATTTGATTAAATCAAAATCAAGCAAATAAACCAAAAAACAAACAAAAAAACCCTAACACTGCAGTGAGACTGCTAAGTGTGACCCTCATGGATTTATGGGCTAATCCTTTAGAAACACACATTATACTGTTTCAGTTCTGCGTGATTCAAATCCCATTTGAATTTATCCACAATCAGATATTATTGAGCTATTTTGTCTAGGTATTTTCAAGTTAACTCAAATCATGCTAAGTTTATGGAAGTCTCAACTAAAAAAAATATATATATAATTCCAGGCAAATAGAAGTTATTGATTTTTTCTGCTTTAAGGCAACCAGAAGCACTTCAACAATGGAAGTTACATGGAGCTTCTGTTCAGGATTTGCCACATGTGAGAACTCTAAATCTGTTTCTGTTTTTGGATCAGTCTCCCTCATCTTCTACTCTACATGTATTTCCTAACCATATGTTATTATTCATAGTTTCTGCTAGTCATTTTTGGTTTCCTTCCTTAAGCCCCTTCTGCTTCCATTCTTACTGCTAAATGCCAAGTTTTTTTCATGTTTCTTAGTAAAAGTATCCAGGAAATATTGCCAAGACTGATGTCAAAGAGCATGCTGCTTATGTCCTCTTCAAGGAGTTTTATGATTTCAGGTCTTACATTTAAGGCCTTAATCCATTTTGAGTTTATTTTTGTGTATAATGTGAGAAAGTAGCCCAGTTTTATTCTTTTGAATGTAGCTGTCCAGTTTTCCCAACAACATTTATAGTCTTGCCTCCTCTGTTATAGGTTAATTGACCATATAAGTGTGGGTTTATTTCTGGGGTCTCTATTCTGTTCCATTGACCCCTGTGTCTGCTTTCATGCTAATATCATACTGTTTTGGTTACTGTAGCTTTGTAGTATAGTTTGAAATCAGGATTCTTGATACCTCCAGCTTTGTTCTTCTTCTTCAAGATTATTTTGGCAATTCTAGTTCTTTTCTGTTTCTTACATATTTTAGAATTATTTATTCTAGTGCTATAAAAATTGTCATAAGTATTTTGATAAGAATTCCATTGAATCTGTAAATTGCTCTGAGTAGTATGGTCATGTTAAAATGGATTAATTTTTCCAACCCATGAGCATGGTATATCTTCCATTTGTTTGTGTCATCTTCAATTATTTTCATCAATGTCTTATAGTTTGCTGAGTACAAGTTTTTTTTTTTTTAACCTCTTTGGTTAGATTTATTCCTACATATTTTATTCTTTCTGAAGCAATTATAAATGGAATTGTTTTCTTAGCTTCTTTTTCTGGTAGTCTATTGTTAGTGTATAGAAATATGACAGATTACTGTAAATTAAATTTGTATCCTGCAACTTTACTGAGTTTATTTACTAGTCCTAATAGTTTTTTGGTGGCATCTTTAGGATTTTCTATGTATAGTATCATGTCATCTGCAGACAGTGACAGTTTTGCTTCTCTCTTTCCAATTGGGATTCTTTTTATTTCCCTTTTTGGTTTGTATTGGTCTGATTTCTGTGGCTAGAATTTACAATGCTGTGTTGAATAAATGTGTTGAGGGTAGGCATCCTTGTATTGTTTTTTATCTTAGAGGGAATGCTCTCAGCTTTTCACCATTGAGTATGTTGTTGCCTGTAAGTTTGTCATATATGGCCTTTATTATTTTGAGGTATGTTCTTTCTGTACCCACCTTGTGGAGAGTATTTGTCTTAAATGGATGTTGAATTTTGTCAAAAGTTTTCCCCCACATCTATTGAGATGATCATATGACTTCTATTCTTCAGTTTATTAATGTGTTTTATCACATTGATTGATTTGCAGATATTGAATCATCCCTGCATCCTTGGCATAAATCCCACTTGATCATGGTGTGTGTTGTTTTTAATGTAATGTTGACTTGTTTGCTCATACTTTGTTGCAGATTTTTGCATCTATGTTCATTGGTACTATAGGCCTGAAATTTGTGTGTGTGTGTGTGTGTGGTGTCTGTCTGGTTTGGACACCAGGGTTAAACTGATCTCATAAAATTAGTTTAGAAGTGTTTCTTTCCCTTCAATTTTCTGTAATAGTTTGAAAAGAACAGGTACTAACTCTTCTTTAAATATTTCATAGAATTCACAAAATCTGACCTGGGAAGACATCTGGTCCTGGACTTTTGTTTGTTGAGAGTTTTTTGTATTACTGATTCAGTTTCATTACTGGTAATCAGTCTTCTCATATTTTCTATTCTTGAGAGAAGAAATAGAAATTTTCAGTCTTGGGAGATTGTACATTTCTAGGAATTTATCCATTTATCCATTTATTGGTGTATAATTATAGTAATTTCTTATGAGCCTTTGTATGTCTGTAGCAGAGTTTGTAAATTCTTCTCTTTCATTTTTTATTTCATGTATTTGGGCCCTCTTTCTTTTTTTCTTGATAAATCTGGCTAAAGTTTTATCAATTTGTTTATCTTTTCGAGGAACCAGCTCTTAGTTTCAATGATCTTTTTTTACTGTTTTCTTTTGGTCTCTATTTTATTTCTTTCCACTCTGATCCTTATTATTTTTTTCCTACTAATAACTTTAGGTTTTGTTTGTTCTTTTTCTTGTTCCTTTAGGTGTAAGGTTAGAGTGTTTATTTGAAATGTTTCTTGTTTTCAGGCAGAGGTTTGTATCACTATAAACTGCCCTCTTAGAATTGCTTTTGCTAATTACATAGATTTTGACCATGTGTTTCCATTTTCATTTGTCCCGAGTTATTTTTTGATATCCATGGAGGAGAAGCATTTCTAACTTCTCTGTTTTCACTAGCAGTACTTAAATACTAAAACAGTAATTAGCAAACCACAAAATGAGTGTACATAAGTCTAATGCCATTCTGACATTTCTACTGTTGACTACAATGGTGGACACTAAAATAGTTCATCCAATGTCTATGTTCTCATTTTTCCTATGAAAAAAACCTTTAATTTGTTGGAGTAAGCAATTTTCCCAGTGAAAAACTGGCTATTCTTTGCTACTGAAAGTAACAGTTTGAGCCAGATCTGGACAATAAGACATCAGCAGAAGTCTTTAATTGAGATGTTGGAAATCATCTTCTTTTCTGAAGAAAAGGAACAGAATTATTTGTCCCCACATATAATACATACACTCTACTTAGTCCTATATTGAACACGGACATGGTGGTTCCAGTAGAAATAATCATATTACACCCATGACTAAATGCAAAGGAGCATATTTAAAGCCCAAAATATTAAAACTTTAAAACAGTAAATCTTAAGTCTCTGATGGTATCATTGAGAACATGAACCACTGATGCTGGTAGTAACACACTCATTAGCTCACATTGCTTGAGGAAATGATACCTTCATAAGTAAATACACTTATGGTTGGGCTTTATTCACTTACAAGAAACACTCTTGTCATCGCTACCACTGATGCAGGAAAAAATGGATGTGGGGCGTGAGGAGGGCCGTTTCCCAGGTCTTGGTTGAGCTCCTGGGATGTGCCCCGCCAAGTGTGGGTCCTTGGCTTGGTGCAGGAAAGCATGCAAGTGCGAGCCATGGTTTAGTAAAGGTAGATTTATTTAGAGAGATACATACTGCATAAAGTGTAAGGCAACAGAAAGGCAAGGAAAGAGGTGTGGGAGTTGGATGCTCAGGTTAAAGTAAAAGTGGTACACACTCCATATACAGAGTGAAGGCAATCTCCGAAGAGAAGGGAGCAAAAAAGGGCAGCAACGAGGCATGGTGTTGCCAGTTTTTATAGACTCAGTAATTCTATGCCTACAGGTGGGAGGACTATTTCAGCTACTAGGGGAAGGGGCTGGGATCCCCAGGACATGGGCCACCACCCACTCTTTGACTTTCTATGGTTAGCCTTGGGACTGTCACGGCACCTGTGGGCATGTTATTCATCATGCTAATACGTTACTATGAGCATATGATGAGGCTCAAGTTCTACTAGAAGTCATATCTCCCACCATTTTAATCCTCAAGGCCTAGTGGGAGTTGAATCTTCCTCCATTTTGTTGTTAACTGGCTGTCATTCCTGGAATGGCTCTGCCCTGCCCACTTCCCTCCTGTCTCACAACCATCTATACTTATTTAAAAATCAAATATAAAGGATGAGATTCATTTTCTGTCTTTTTTCCTTTGGTGACCCTGTGTCCTTGCTTACAGCATGTGCTCAATCTACTTACTCTGGGCTAGGTGGAGAAACAAGAAGGGATCTGTATTCATTGAGCTGTTAACTATGTGTCTGTCTAAGATCTTAAAGTCAGTTCTTCATTTATCCCCAAAACCTCATAAATATAGTGTTATAATTTTTCACAGTTTATAGATAGAATCTGAGGTTCAAAATTATGAAGAAACTAGTCCAAGGTTATACCACTAATGAGTATGGAATGTAGATCTGAACGCATATATGCCTTGCTCCTACTTTTAATCACTACACAATATTGCCTCCTAGAATTAATGATTCATTTTATTATACAAAATGAAAGAGACCAAAATGTAAAGAGACCTTAATGTGCAAGACTTGACTTGCTCAGGATTGATGGAAGAAGGGAAAGTAGAAAAGAATCTTTCTAAGACAACATGTGTGTTTATTGTGTATACAGGTTCATCGTTTATGCATACTTTTATAATTTTCTACATAGTAGTTTCTTTATACTCTATTGAGAGATAATTGTAACCAAAGTGCCAAAATTTATCCCTAGTGGAATTAAAAATGGCCAAGTAATGCATGTTTTAAATTTTTTGAAAACTGCTTCAAGGAAAATACTAACAAGTTGCTAAGAGGCCAATTACTGAGTACTTTGCTAATTAGATTTATTGAACACAGTGTGTTTCTGTTTGTTTTGAAAAGTGATATTCTGGAAACATTTGCAGCAACCATTCTTGAGTTAGAGCTCCCAATGCCCTCATCTTCCCCACCCTGGAGCTGTGGCGTAATTTCGGGACTTTGTAAACTATAGAATCTAAGGCCAATCTGCATTTCAAAGGAATGTAAGTGGCTGCAGTCCTGCCAGTTCCACTCCCTACAATTATGTAAATAACAATTTGATAATAAGAAGCCTTTATATAAATGACTTAAATGGTTCCCAATATATTCAAGAGAACTATTTCATATTTTTCATCTTTAATGAAAAGAGGAAATGCTTGAACATCTCACAGTGCTATTGTCTGTCTGCTTCTCATCATTCTCCCTCCCACCTTCCTCTCTCACTTTCTTCTTCTTTGAAAACATGCTTTCTTCTTTCATTATGAAATTGGCAATAGGTAGGCAAATAGTGAGATGAGTACACAAATCACTATGGTACACAGTGTCAGCAGGCTTCAGAATAGCTAGTGTTATGCTCAAAGAGGAATAAAATATGAAAACACTTTTCTAAGCAGATTTAAACCAATAAAATACTTAGGGAAGAGAAAAAGAATAGAAAAAAGCATTAGAATTAGGGGCATGAAAATGACTTTTATTAAATATTCATCACTCCTTACTCTTCAGCCAAATAAGAACTGATACATGCTGAATTTTGTCTGTTTTTTGAGAATTGTTTTGTTTTTGTTAGGAATTGTTGGACAACATCTGCAGTTTTTATTCTGGAGGGTAGTCATACTCCTTAGTTCTGGCAAGAACGAACCACATAAAAGACAATACTAGTTGTTTTTCATGTGTCATCGCATTTGTCTTCAACTCAACTTTATGTAGGTGATAGAATAAAAATATATCTTTAAATATTTTGTGAAGGTTATACAACCAGAAAATGTTGAAGCTAGAATTCAGCTTTGCTCCTGCTGATGTCAGTTCCACTTCTCTTTCTACTAGGAGGCATCACAGAAATGTTAAAATGTTTGAATATTGCAAGATGCATTTTTATGAACATTAAAGAACAAGATAACCTACTGGAAGTTGGATTATTTTTTCCTTGAGTAAATAGATCTGTTGAATACCTATTTGATCAGATATTCAAAAGGAAGACCTCATTTCTATTACTTTTCACAAAGAAACAAAGCATAGAGTAAAAACTAAATAAACAAGCCAGAAAGAGAAAGAGAAATACACATTTGATATCACTTATATGTGGAATCTAAAAAACAAAACAAAACAAACAACAACAACAAAAAACAAGACTAATGAACTTACTTACAAAACAGAAACAGACTCACAGACATAGAAAACAGACTTATGGTTACCAAGGGGGAAGGAGGTGGGAAGGGATAAATTGGGAGTTCGAGATTTGCAGATACTAACTAATATATAGAAAATAGATAAACAACAAGTTTATACTGTATATAGCACAGGGAACTACATTCAATTATCTTGCAGTAACTTATGGTAAAAATGACTATGAAAACGAATATATGTATGTTCCTATATGACTGGAGCATTGTGCTGTACACCAGAAATTGATACAACATTGTAAACTGACTATACTTCAAAAAAAAAAACCCAAAAAACAAAATAAACAAAATCAATTACTATTAGCACTAAGTTGTTTGGTGCTCACCAAAGATGGAGTAGGTATTAAAGACCTAGAGAAAAGTAAAATTGACCTCACAGTTGTGTAGGATTCAATCAGATAAAATAGAAGTGGGAAGCCATTGTATCATAGAAGGTGATTCTTTTCTTCAAGATAGAAACTCCTAATTTCCTTTAAACACTGGATAATTTAGTACTTTATCTTGAATGCTTATTGTTTGTGTCAGAAATGTATGGGGAAACACATGTTCTATTAAATTAATGTAGACTTTCACCTACAGAAAAGTGGTTTAATGGGAAGTATTATGAATTTTATAATACAGTTCAGACTGTCCTCCCTGCTTCCCATTGTTCCCACCTTCTTAGACTTTTTCCTGTGCAGTCTTAGAGAGCTACCTAAATTCAAATATAACCCATGGCAAAACTCTTCAATCGTTCTACATTTTCCACAATAGTGATTTCCAAACTTTCTAGCTGAGGAATCATTTACTCCACATAGTTATATGTGAGACTAAAAGTTAAATAAATAATGAAATATTTCTGTGTAATTAAAGGTTTATATATCATAAAATATTAACATTTTTGTTATAAAACTAGTTACTTATTTACTTTTAAATCATTTCAATTTTAATAATGTTTTAAAACTGTCTATTCCAGACAATAGTTGTAATACTATCTAGAAAACTTTTGATTACCAAATATGGATCATATTCTCATTGTAAAATGGAATACTGAAATGTATTCTAATCATAAACCATGTAATACTTATGCAATTTCTAAGCTTGCAATGCTTAGCTTGCTTGGGCCAGAAATTTAAAAATAAAATGCCATTTATTTAAAAAATTCATAAAGTAGTTTCTTGAATTAATGAACTGTTCATTTAAAGGATGATGAATAGATTATCAGCAAGTTTAGTTTATTTTTAGAGTTTGATGTATCTCTCCAAATATATCATATGACATTTTTGGGTTTCTAAGAATATAATTTAAAGAAAAATATCAGGGATAGTGTTGCTTATCTTTTAAATTAATTCACTCAAAACTGTAAAAGTCAAATTGTTTAATGAGCCCAAACCTAGCTTGAATTTTCTCATTGAATTCTGAATCGATGAAAATTGATTTCAGGGTTTTATCTTTGCAACACAGAATTATCTAATTGAGTTTATTTACCTTGTTAAAAATAGCAAAGCATGCAGGTTGGTATAATCATATTGTATTAGAGAAGTATTTCAATAATGGGATTTTCTTTGTGGTGAAAAACTAGTGATTTCTTGTCACATTAGAAAAATTTGTACCAGCACCTTTCCTCAGGTTAGTCAATGTACTTCAGAATAAAAATGGACATTCTGCAAACCACTCCTTGTTTTATTAGAAATAAATTTGGAATGTCAATAATTTGAAAACTTAACGAATTGACATGTATATGTCATTATTTGACATGATTTTTTGTTTAATACTGTCATCATCTTAAGTTACCAACGCTTATCGACCTAACATCCCATAATTGTCCGAACACATTTCAACAGCAGATTTAATATGAACTGGCACTCCTTTAATTTTCTGCCATTGCTTTTACTCCATCAATACAATCATCCTATGTCACCATCAATATAATCATTCTTCATGAGTTCTCTAGCTACACGGCATATTTATCTTCTTATATATTGTCTATCTCACCCTCTAATGTCTAAGACTTTCTGTGTGTGCCTCATTTTCTGCTATATACTTTGAATTTAGAAAAGTTCTGTACTTATTATAGATGCTCAATAAATATATTTTTGAATTAATGAATATACTTCTGATTTCTTCTTTGATTTAAATGATGCTAATTGTGACTACAGACAAGTGACTCCCTTGTCTATAACACTTGTAAGTGGCATCATCATCATAGTCTAGTCAACATTTCTTTCTGAATATGAATGTCTGTTACATATGTGCATTTATATTATAAGATTAAATTTTTTTGCATTTTTATTCTCATAGTGTGATTGAATTTAGGCTGAAAAGAGCAAGAGTTATTTTATGCTTATTATGTTTTGTTTCAATATAATGTAATTTGGCAAGGATCATATGATTATCTTGCAAAATCACTTGCAAAATTTCACCTTGTAGACATGGGCAATATATTATAATGATAACTAAAAATATAAAATAATTTTCTTGATTCTTTCTTATATTTTTTGTAATCTTTTGTAATTACAACTACTATAAAGGTAAATTTTTAAAATGAATAACCAGTTTCAACTGCTTCTTAAGTGAGCAGGTGCCCTAGTCCCCCAAGCTGGATTGGGAGTATAGTGCAAACTCCAACAATATTCTCCTATAGAAATGGGATATATAACTTCTATTTGATGGAGAACTTCTGATAAGACATTTACCAAAATCTCATGGAAACAAAAAAACAGAACCAAACCTAGAACCATTCCCTTCAATAAATTATTTGCAGTATTCCTACTGAGTTCTTCCTCTCTGGTTACATCCAAGTACAAAAACAAAGAACATTCAGATTATAGTTCAGTGAAGAAAATCAACAGGTTTCAGGTAAGGTAAAACTAGTGATGGAAGATTTCCACATAGTATAATAAAGAATATAGATTACATTAAATCTCTTTTTAAAGTAGACACCATCTAGGTAAAGAAAATTTGGAAAAAATAAAAGGAGTAGAATTTACATGCAAAATACCACTGAAAAATACCAAGAGAGAAAATTAAATCCTCTAAGAAGAGTATATATAACACTTGACAGACACAAAAATTGCTATAGAAAAATTTTGTAGAGAAAATTAATTCAATATGACAAGATCTCAAAGATATGAAGATAAAACAACAGAGAAATAAAAATGAAGACTGTGGAACTAAAGAAGCAAATTGATGAACAAAATAAATCTATCAAAACCCAGTATATATTAGAATATAAATGGATGAGATAATTTATGATTGAAAATCAAGTTTCTTCTGTAGAAGGAAAGATTGGTAATTTATTAAAGGAAGAAAAAAATTCACTTAAAACAATGGAAAAATTAATGAAAGATACATGAATGTTCTCAAATACTCCCACAGAAATATAATTAATAAAATTTAACATTAAAAAGATAAAAAATGGTTTCCTGTAATAAGATTCAGATCTGAATATTTAAAGGATGAGCATGTGTTAGAAAAAATTTTGATCCAGAATGGAAAAATCAAGACATGCCTGATTACCTTACTGA